CAAAACTTCTGTATATACGATTTTTATTTTTAACAAAATATATAGTTTTTTATGTGGGTCTAATGTAAGACATACTGTTTGTAATTTATTCCATCAGACATACATAGACAAGGAAAAAATCCCAAAGAAAAAAAAACAGTAGGCAAATATCTATTTATGCAGCAAATTAAAATGCTCAACGCCTAGACCATCTAGACAGAGCAATAAATGCTTCAGGAATGCCAACACTCATCGAAGGAGAAGTTTATATATATATATATATATATATATATATATATATATATATATATATATATATATATATATTTATATATATATATATATATATATATATATATATATATATATATATATATATATATATATATATATATATATATAGATTTTCAGAATGAGACTTCCTGATGTTATCGGAATGGAACGAGGTCGATCAGCGTGCGACACACTTGAAAAGTGCCTGAAAATCATACCCTGGGTTGACCCAAGCCTTGTGAGTGAAATTGGGTTAATGGAACTTTTGAGGGCCGTCGATAGCTGTGCTCGCACAAAACCACAAGTCATCGTGGACGAGGGCTTGAGCGTGCTGGCCTTGGTTAAATTGTTGATCACGGTAGATAACACACTATCTCCCGGAAACTGAAACTAAGGTCTGCTCAGCATAGTTGCAGTATAAACCATAGGTGTGCTCTGTAGGTGTTGAGCAAGCACAAATTTGTCTGAGTGAGCATCTGTAATAGGTATTGTCTAGCTGACCTAGTAGTTGGGTATCCTCGAATACGAGTGGCCAGCTATTTATATATATATATATATATATATATATATATATATATATATATATATATATATGTATATGACATGTACCGCTACCAATTTGGTCGCTGGAGGCCATCTTAGAGTAAGTTTTGAGTTACCCATATAAAGATCGCCTATCTACCATTGTGATTTCTATGAATGTATATATTTTTGTACCCGAAACCTAAACAACAACCATTCTTAAATGGACATTTTTTTAATTTCTTATTACTATAAACTTTATATTTAATTGGTGCACGTATTTGAGTTGCTACTCATGTTTTTCCGTTTATGAAAACAGTGAAATTATTAACAGCTGGCGTAGATCTTACTAAAGAGAAATATGAACATATCTATTCACATTTGCATGTGTTTATGTTATATGTGTCGCTGGTTGGTTGGCTGATGACATTCTTGTTGGGTTATTTAATATCAACTTGTATGTACAGAGCACTCAGCGAGTATCGAACTTATTACTCAGCAGCAATGGATAACCAGACTAAATATCTGTCTATATCTCTGAGATGAGATATTATGATTACTTGCATTATTTACATTATTCAGTCTGTTATCCTCATCTTCATTATGAATATGGATATTCACAACGTTTCGACTGTTGTACGTTCCGGCCTTCTTCATGTGATTGGACACATGGCCCAGTGGATAAAGACGTTGGTTAGTTCCAGTGACTAGACACAAAGAGTTGTAAGTTCAATAACAGACCACAGCAGTGGTGAAAAAAAAAACTTGGAGATTTCATTTAATGTGAAATAACTGAGACGTCCAGAATAGGCATAGCACGTGGAACTAGAACAATCTACCCCCAGTGAACGAAATAAAGGGTTCGGTTCGAAATTCCAATCACCTGAAGAAGGCCGGAGCATACAACGACCGAAACGTTGTGAATATGCCAATGAAGATGCAAGTAACCAGACTAAACTAGCTAACCATTATCTTACATTATATCTAAGTTTATGTATGCATATGTTAAAGAAAAACAATGTCAAAGCAGAAATAATAAACACATATGATGTTAGATGTGTGATGCCAATACAGTTGTTTAAGGTCAGATATGGTTTACACACCGCATCGACCCTCTCCGTCACGGCTACATCATTCAGAGAGAGAGAGAACGTGATGAGATTAGGGGTCATATGCAGGGACATCACTTTGAATATAAATGTTACAGTCAACAGGGGGATTTGGTTTGTACCTTGTGTCATAAACAATGTAAGAACAAGTATGATCCCACCAGCAATGGGAAGGTAGATAATAATAACAATCAGTAAAACACGAGACAAATAAATATCCCAAATAAATGTGTTTGCCAGAAGATCTTTTAAAAGCCTTTCTAGCCTTAGGAGGCATTGCAGAGTCCATTCGTGGACAAGAGCTGCAGATTTAAATAAGCTTTCATCGTTTTGTGAAAGTTAACTCTTCACAACTCAGTTTGGTTTTCGTCCTGGTAAGTGATGTAATGATGGCATATATGTCATCAAACAACTCAAGGAAATTGCATACTTCTCTAATAAGAAATTGTATACCTGCTATGTTGACCTCAGATGTGAAGAGATGGGCACGAATTATTTAAGCATTGCATACTAAATCCCAAAAGAATCGACTAATAGAAGACAGCGATCCTGCTGTCCCTCCCGAGGCCAATGTACTTACGATAGGTATTGATAGTATGGATAAGCTAACAACCTCTACAAAATGTTCCAAGAATTAGGATTCAAAATAAACTGCCCCAAAAGAAAAAAAATAACTTGAAATTGACATGAAAGCCGTGATGGCACCTACCCTGAACAATCATAGAAATTCAGGTTGTGGAATTAGTAAATACAAAACACTGCAAATATCTCAGTGTATGGATCAGTTATAACAAATTTATTATAGGAGAAAAGGTAATTGAACATATAATAGGTTGCGCCAGTGGTAGTTTTTGGCCAACACTGAAAATTACAACAAAACCAAAACTATAGTTATGTTCTTAAATAGGCTTATCAAGTCGAGACTTTCAAACCTTTTCAGAAATATCTAAACCTTCAACTGTATATAACCGATATATATATATATATATATATATATATATATATATATATATATATATATATATATATATATATATATTCGTATGCTAGACGATTTTTTCGGTTAACGTACATGTTCTTGGTTCTTTCTTTTTATACCTTTTTCCCTTTGGTATTAGCTTGTTTATTTGCAAATCAAGACACCGAAGGTTTTCGAGCGAGTATAGTTTCTTATACTTATAAGATTTCTATTAATAATAATAATGATATATATATATATATATATATATATATATATATATATATATATATATATATATATATATATATATAATCTCGAACAATAAAAAATATTGATAAATTAAATTTCAGACACACTGGGTTGTATATTAATATTTTTGTTTTATTATTTCAATTAGATTCATCGACTAGTTTCGGCCAGTATGGCCATCATCAGGAGAAAAAAATTCTGCTTGTTAGTAGCAGTGAACTACAGTAATGAATTTGAATGTGTTGAATATATATATATGTGTGTGTGTGTGTGTGTGTGTGTGTGTGTGTGTGTGTCTATCTGAAAAACAAGAAAAACCCTTGCTTTAAATTTCTCTTGAACACCGGTCGCTATCTCATGCGATTTACACAACTACTGCAATTCTTTATACCTTAAATGAGACAATCTTTTCATCAGTCACTATTGATTGTCTGTGCAGAATTGCAAACAAAGAGCTTTAGCAAATAACAAAAACGCATCACATGCAAACTTCTAACATTTAAAACGAGTAACACATATTACTTGAAAAGAAAATAATGATACAATCTAGATGTTGAAATTCTAAACTACCTTAAAGAAAAGGTTTAAAAAAAAAAAGTCCTATCGTTGCGAGAATGATCGATGACAATTACTGGAGTTGAAAAATCATATTTCCTCAAGAACGTTTTCAAGGAAAAAATTCATAAATTTCAACCCACAGTAACGTTAACTGTTTGTTGAAAAAAAATCCGATTATCCCATGCAAGGAGACAGCTAATTTGACTATTACCATCACGGGAGATACGATGCTTTTTAAAACTAAATTACAGATACATAAATAATAATTTTGTTACTGAGTTGTTGTTCTTTAATTATTTCAGCCCAAGCAAGGCAATGAAGCCACTAGGACGCAAGGGGGTTACCGAGTGGTAGAAAATATAAGAAAAACTACTATTAAGGAGTGAGAAGATAACGATTGACATTGCATTTAAAGTTTTAAAGATTAAAGTTGATTGGGAAGCAAGAAGCCGGAAGAAAGTTTCACAAGCAACAAGTGCGATCGAAGAAACTGTTAGCATAGAACTTACGGTTCCATATAGCCACTTCAACTGAAAAATGAGGGGACCTTACCGCCAATCTAGTATTGCGCTTAAATTCATAAAGTCTAGATGCTATAGCGGAAAGTTCATCAGAACAATTACCATGAAAGTATTTATAGAGGAAAGCTACATTACGGCGGTTGGAAAGTGACTGAAGCTGTGATGCCAGGTCAGGACCAATAACAATGCAGATTCTTCTTTGGATTTTATCAAGAATCTCTAAGGCAGAAGCACAAGACGAGACGTGGCAGTAATATTCAAAGCAAGGAAAAATGGTAGACTTATAAATATGTAACACAGATTCTGGCGTGAAAAATTGTTTGATCAGTTCATCCCATGCAAGACTCAAGGCTGGGCGTGAAAGAGAATGAAAATATTTTTCGGAAACCCGATCCTAAACAGGGAAAAAAGTGATAAACCTGTTCAAAAGACGGGGGAGGAGTGTACTTGTAAATTATTCAAATCTGGGTTATCGTTTAGACAGAGGTAAACTCGTCCAGTAATCGTCTTTCTTGTTTGTTATTGTAATTGACTATTTTTTTCAAACTGAAAATTATCTTCTAAGCCGGTGAAGAACCATTGTTGTACGCAAGCTTTTCTCCAGCTTCATGAGTTGAGGATAATGGACATGAGGTTACCGCGCTGGTCCAAGGCGTGCTGATAGGGGTGGATGTGACACTCTTGGGCGGTCATGTTTCTTTTCGATTCATGATCACTAAAAGATATTTGCATAAGTGAATGCAATGAACCCGACTGGAATTCGAACTCGACTTTCCGATTTTCCAACCTGAATCGTTACCCATTGCACTCCACGCGTGCGCATTCAAGCTTACAGCACTTCGTATTCTTAGTCGGTCACCCATTTGGTGACTGACTAGGCTCGATATTGCTTAACTTCGGTGATCAGACGAGAACCGGTGTTTCAACGAGATATGGTCGTAAGTCAAACTGGAATTTACAGTCATTCATAAAAAAGATAAATAATGCTTTTTGCTAGTTCAGGTTGCAGGAAAAGTGAAAAATTCGTTACAAAATAGAACAAATGGTTATAAGAACATTGACCTTGAAAAGTGATTAGTACTTGTTTCCTCTGATGCGTTTCATTTAATATTTATATATATATATATATATATATATATATATATATATATATATATATATATATATATGTCCTCACTAATCTCGTACTTGAGATACTTGGATGGAAACTCGTATCATGTAACCAAATGTCCCATTTTCGACAATCTATTTCAAAATGTGTTCCCTCCCCCACTTTAGTTTATCAGCATCTCTGGTGTAAAAAGATTCCTTGCATCTCCTTAAAAGGGTATCAAGTATTTTTATCCTATCATAAGACAAGTTTGTTTTTTTTATATATAATGAACGTTACATCAGGTCAATTATTACACGTGGCATTTCCTACTCTTTCCTTGTGGGTGGATGATAGGACGAACAAACGGGGGCGGCTGGGTGAACGAGAGGGTAAATATCTACATCCTCTTTTCATAAAGGGCACGCTTAGTTTTTTTTTATATATGTAAAGAAAAAATGTCCCAGATGCTTGTAGCCTACAGCAAAACGTGGATAGCATTTTTTACTATTGTAATCTGCAACTGAATCAAGTGCCCCTTTCGAGTGCGTGAATCACTGTAGAATGCGTGAAGGCCAAAGGGAAGAGGCGAAACATTTTATCTTACATTTTTATATATATATATATATATATATATATATATATATATATATATATATATATATATAAGTTAAATAAAAAAATACGTGTGCAGTTATAATACTTACTGAGTGCTTCAGAAAAGTAAAGTTTACATTGATGGGTCAAGAGCGACACAGACTAACATTTCTAGTGCAGTCAGTGAAGACTGAACTCATTCATCGTATGTTGCTGAAACAGGACGCAAGAAACTACGATTATTTATTTATTTAATTTATTTACTTATTTGTTTGTTTGAATTTATTTATTTTAATTATTTTTCTTTCTTTATTTTATATTTTATTTATTTATTTTCGTTTATTCTTGTTCGTTTTTAGTTTTCAATTATTAAGTAACTTAGTAAAAATTTGTACTCATGTCTACATTTTGAGATGAATCCTGTTCTTTTATCTAGTAATTTGTGTTGGTCTGAATAGCTAATTTTCAGCTTTTGGATTTATTGTTATAAGCTAATGCTGTTTTCGTTATTTTCCGTAGGATTTTTTTGTTTGTTTTTTAAATCTCTCATATATGTGTAGAAAGTATTGTGCTGTTCGCGTATTTACTATTTGTACATGATGTTTTATGTACGTAATTTCTGTTTTCAGGGTCCTTTAGTTACACCTAAATAGATTTTTTTTCGTTATCTAGTTATTTTACAGTGGCTTGTTATATTACTTTTATATTTACAAACGCACTGTCCCTGACATTGAGCACTTTAGCCCATAAATATAGCATACCTTAAAGCTATATTTAGTTTTATATATATATATATATATATATATATATATATATATATATGGGTGCGTGGCAGAATGGTTAGAAAGTTCGGTTTCGAATCTCACCACGGTTGATTTGTCAGGAAGTAGACTTCCTGATGTTATCAGTCTGGAGGGACGATCTAAACCTGCGGCACCTTTGGAAAGCGCCTGAAAACCATACCACGGGTTGACCCAAGCCTTGTGAGTGAAATTGGTTAGACGGCACCCTTGGGGGCCGTCGATAGCTGTGCTAATACGAAGTCATAAGAGTCTGAAGGTTTGAGTGTCCTGACTTTGTTCAGATTGTGTATCATGCTAGATAACACGCTGTCTCCCCGTAAGTAAGGTTTGCTCAGCATAGTTGCAGTATAAACCGCAGTTGGCTCTGTGGGTATTTAAAGAGCAAGCGTCTGCTATAAACAGGTATCCTCGAATACGAATGGCCAGCTATTGTGTATATATACGTAGGTAAATCGTTAAGTCTATAAACTATTAAGGAAAAATAACGTTTATTTTACGCCACAAGTATTTATTTTAAATATTTTCTCCTTCCGTGTCAATTCACATAACTCAAGCTTTATTCATTAATCCTATAGAGCAAACAGGATTTACTAATACTTGTACAGACCTCCATTTTATTACTAAGCATTTTAAGCAGCATATGAATTCATTTGCGATATTATAAGATAAGGATTTCCACCAAATTTTTGTCTGCGCATAAATTCACCCAATATTTCAATCATAAGATCCAAGCGTAACATGTTATTAGAAAAGTAGGAGATTTGTACAAGTATCAATTAAATTCATTAACAAAATGTTTATCCCAAAATATACAATGTTTATGGGAACATGCATTCATTTTGTATTCAGTTAAAAGGCCCCATTTAATCAACTAGTAGAATATTTCCTTTTCGAAGTGCTACTTTAGTTGGGCTGAGAACCTTTCAGTACTTCTCGTACATATAAGTGTGATTGAAATGATAATTAACTTTCCATAGCCGACTCTCCAAATACGTTTAAATGAAATGGCTTGCTTCTTCCTAACCTGTTTCCTATTTGACTGATCAATAACACAGGAGTCATGTGACTGTTTGTCTCAAAACAACTGAACAAACATGGCACATTCTCCTCACAGCCTTTCCTACAACCTCTGCACAAGCAATTCCCGCACGTAACATTGTAGCTTTTCAACATTTTTTTATTAATTTACTTCTAATTTAAATACCGCAAACTGTAAAACATTACTTCTGTTTTAGTCATTATTCTTCTTAATAAATTATGTTTTAACTCCAACTACATTTTTTCTTTAAATTCCACTACTAAGCATTTGCTAAAATCTTTAGAAAAGTTGTGTTATTTGCTTTCATGTTAATTAAGAAAAATGTCAAATATTTCCCCAAAATCGTTTAATCGCAAAAAATGCTTTCACATATAGTATGTAGATGTAAGAGTAAATGTGGCTCATTGTATATTTAATTTCACTGTTTGTGAATAAACAAGAATGTCTACCAAAACATGTGTAATCATTAAAATAGAGTTCATAGTAATAATATATTATGAAAAACTGGCCTGTAGTTCCCAATACCTCTAGAACCAACATGGTTCTCTTATCGCCAAGCAAACAGAGAATTTTCTCTAGTCATGATGAGTGTCTGTACTTTCAATGAAGCTCCTTGTTTTGAAGGTCTACTGGGATTAAAGATTATCCTAGACTTTGAGTGGAATTCATAAGATGCTCGAAAAATGGCCGCTATCCTGTACCGCGTAGGAAAATACTTTACCTTTTTACTGCCATGTTTCATTTTTGCAAGTATCAGATTAGACCTAAAATAGAATATTGCTTCCATATCTGACCTGAAGCTACTCAACCCTTTCACTTCTCAACCTTGATAAAGTTCAAAATCATTTCCACGGCCTTGTGGGGGTTGACTTATTTTCCACCATACAGTACCTTTCCCAAAGAAAAAACGTCGCATGCTTAACGCTACTTTCATGGTCAGCGTTCAGACAAGCTCCATTCTTTAGCGACGCCAGCTCAAAACTTTACAGTCAAGATCCGACTACCTGTATCCATAAGTTGTGAATCACCTTCATTTCCATTAATGCATTCTATTAGTAAAAAAAAAAAAAAAAAGATATTGCACTTAGAAAGCGTCTTCTCAATAATCGCTACTTGTAGGTAATGAACTATTTTCAACCCTAAATCTTCTTTCCATTGCCAGCCACTAGCTACTCTATCGCTATTTTCATGGGAGAGGTTCAGATGTAAGACATTCTTTAGATCTACCAGTCCAAACCATCACTATCAGGACCTGCCATACAAACTACACAGTGTCGAATCATCCCCATTATCATTGTATTCAATTTATAAGGAGAAAGTTCCACTCGGACAGCGTTTTCTTTTTTCAAAAGCTTTGCAGGACGGACTCACGACTCATTTTAAGCATTTCAAGTCTTGTGTCAACTGTTGTCTTATCCCATCAGTCCTCAAAATATACACTTCTTACTTTCTTCTTTTACGTCCTTACAACTTAGCATACGGCTGCATCACATTAAATCACCGGTTCCTTTACGATTACTGCAGTTAAGCAACGTCGAGCCTAGTCAGTAACTAGATGGGTGATCGCTTGAGAATATCAAGTTCTGTAAGCTTGGATGTGTGGGTGGGATAATGGATAATGTTTCGAAATTGTTAATCGGGGAATCGATTCCCAATTGGGTTCGTTATATTCATTGCGCTCAAATATTCTTGGGAGAGATATGAATCCACCCCGTTTCCTCCCTGCTATGGATTAATTAGTAAGATTTGTATCATTAAACCATTAATTATTTCTTACAATCTAATTTATTTGACTGGCTTTAATTAACCTGCAGTAGATTGATATGCCGTCGAAAACAGATCAATCAATTACAACAACTTAATTTGGTAACGCTCCTACTTGAGTGGATCTTAGGCCTTGTATTAAGTGTGCAATGGTATTAAAAATAAAGATAAAATATCTACAACATCTTGGATCTTGAAAATGGTCAGAAATATGCTTGAGGGCGTTCGATTATAAACATTCGGATATTGACTCCAAACATACATACTCGTCTGTAAACAAGAAAAATAGTTAAAAAAAAACTTTTTTGTCCTCCATTTTTAATATGCACTCACCGCCAATCATTTTATCAGCATACTTTTTTAGTCCTGGGTTGGACATATTTTTGCCTGTAGGGCCGCCTCAGTTCTTCGTGGGATAAATTCGACGATGTTCTGGTAGCACTCTTCAAAATGTGAGTCCATGTTATTATTAAAGCATCTGACATTTTTAGATTGTTTGACTGCACATCCAGTTCTCAAATTTCCCTTTCTGCGTCATTTCAAAGACTGAAATAATGGTAACTTCGGTAGTCACTTTAACACAGAAAACACATTGCTGTGTTCCATGAAACAATCTACTATTATTTTTGATTTGTGAAACTGTACTTTGTCTTGCTCGAAGTGGCCGCCAGAAAATGGATGATCTGTAATCAATTTAGAACTACATGACACTGTCTTCAGCCAGCCACAATACCTAGGTAAGCTATAAAATTTAAGCGATCTTTTATTGGTGCGAAGAGATGCATTGCTTACTAAGAAATGATTCCCTATACCATTACATTACAACCACCAGCCTAAATCGTTGATATAAGACAGGATGAATTCATAAATAATCCATGTTGTTTGCGACATTTTGGCTCTACCATCCGAATATTCGCCTTAGAAATTAAGTTTTATCAGACCAGACAAAGTTTTTCCAATCGTCCATTGTCCAAATTTGGGGGCTTCCGGCCACATCAGGTTGAAACAACGGTTCCCATACAATCAACGAAGTTATGCAACGTCGAGGTTGGTCAGTACCTGGATGGGTGACCGCTTGGGAATACCACATGCTAGATGTGCAGATGATGTAATGCATAATGGTTCGGAATTGTTAATCGAAGAGCCGACTTCAATTCCTGTTGAGTTTGTTGTATTCACTTATATACACAAATACCCTTGGGAAAGGTATGAATCCACCTCTTCTTCTTCTTCCCAGCTATGGGTTAATTAGTAAGACTTGTATCACTAAATCATTATTATCTAAAAAGAAAAAAATTACAACCTAATGATTTGAAATTAAATAAAAATTTAATTTTTCCCTTTAGATGCGGTTCTCATCATTCAATTATTTAAAGACAACTTACCTGTTGGCTAATATCACGTTGAAACACCGGTTTCCGTACGATCACCAAAGTTAAGCAACGTCGAGTCTGGTCAGCATCTAGATGAGTCGCTGCTTGGAAATACCAGATGCTGTAAACTTAGATGTACGCCATTACGCCATTCGAATTATTAATCAGAAAGCTGAGTTCCAATTCCTGTTGATTTTGTTATATTCACTTAGGCGCAAATAACCTTGGGAAATGTATGAATCTACATCTTCTCTCCCCAGCTATGGGTTAATTAGTAATACTTCTATCACTAAATCATTGTTGTTTCCTCGCAAAATTCTCACAATCTAAAATATTTTCTGGCTTTTAATAACCCGCAAAGGATTGATAAGCCGTAGAAAACGAATCAGTGAATCTTAATTTAGTAATGCTTTACCTTGAGTGGTTCTCAGGCCTTGTATTTGGTGTGTAATGGAATTAAAAATAAATATGTCATGTCTACAAATCCATAGACCTTGAAAATGATCAGAAATATGTCTAATCGCTGTACTTACATGAGTGACTGCTAGGGAATACCAGGTGCTGTAAGCTTGGATGTGCGGGTGGTGTAATGGATAATCGTTCCGAATTGTTAATCAGAGAGTAGAGTTCTAATTCCTGTTGGGTTTGTCATATTCACTTACGCATAAATGCCCCCTGGGAAGGTATGAATTCAATTCTTTCCCTCCCCCCCCCCGCCAGCTATGACCTAATTAGTAGGACTTGTAGCACGAAACCATTATTATTTCTTACCATCTAAAAATATTTGACTGATTTTAAATAACCTGCAAAACGATGATATGCCTTAGAAGACTAATCCGCCCATCAATCAACCAATTTTTGCGATCCTTAGCGAACTTTAGCCCCAGTTCCATGTTGTTAGTGGAAAGTAGTGCCGCCCGTCGCTGTGGCCCATCTGCTTCATGTTTTGTGGGTTCAGATATATCCTTCACCTCCAACCACTTCCACTCACAATGGATTTTCACTTGAATATTTTTTTCTCTTTTTAATCATGCTCTTTAAAACTTATAAATAGTTGTATCAGAACAATTACCATGAAGGTATTTTTAGAAAAAGGTACAGGGAAACTATGTTACTATTATTAAGAAGAACAAGAATTAAGAAGACAGAAGGCAACGGCTGCCATTGCAAACTTCACTGCGAAGCAAGAAGGCGGAAAAGAGTTCCATAAGTGTGAGAGAAGAAACTGTTAGCACAGAAGTTACGGTTTCATTTAGCCATTTCAACTGTAAAATGATGATACCTTTCCACCAATTTAGTGCTGCTCTTAAAGTCTAGGTATAGAGGCAAGTAATATTTATTTTGAAAATACAAAAATGTAACACGTCCAAAAGGGGGGCGAATAAGAGAAGCCTGGTCTTCAATCTGTCTTATCTTAAACTTAGCTAAACTATTACTGACTCAAACATACAACAGTATTCCTTACTCCAAAACAACATATTTTTACTCGCTATTTTTACCACAGTCAACATAATACCTAAAAGTATGAAGTCCTAACTAATTTCCATATGTTTATGTGTGTACGTTGTAATAATAGTTTCATCAGTATATGTATAAATGTGCCAATACATACGCTTATATGACCTTTCTTTTATTTATTCATATCCTATTTATTACATAATGGTTGTGTGTGTACATACGTTGGTGTCGTAGCGTTATTAATGAGCTTGTGTAACTGGATAGCATAACAGGGATTAGGAGCGATAGTAAGAGAATAAACATTGCTTAGAGTTAAAAATGGTAGGAAGTTGTGGTGAGCCATGAACTATCACGTCCGGAAGGAAACCCGACACATAAAACGTCATCACAGAGTTCATGGGAATGAACGTCGAAGTATAAAAACGCTCAGCACATGATTCCTCGGTTTCTAATCAAACACTGGTTTTTAAAACCAGAACGTCTGGCATTTTGTTCCGACTCTTGCTGTAGCTAACTTACCCAACAAGCTAATGAATTGTTAATTAAGAATGAACTAATTGCTGTTGTGTCCTCATTGCCAGATGAGCTGTGTGACTATTCGCTATATATTTAGCAGATAGAAGAAAATGTCTTCATTAAACAAATGACGTCTTTCCGCAAGACGACATTCATATAAACGGTTACCTCTCTGTGAAGGCCAAGACACACCGTTTGACATCGGCTGTATACTCCTAGCAGAGAACGGTGTAGTCAGAACATGAACCCACCAGCTGATATATTTACATTACCTGCTATATTCATACTTTCTGAATTGAAAAGCTTAATTGCTATTGAAGCTGTTTAAGGGAATTACCTATACATAAAGTGCGGGTAGTGTCACGGTGAGGGAATCAGAAAGTGAAAATCTACGAACCGAGTTCGAATTCCGGTCGAGTTCGTTGCGCTCACTTTCGCACAGATGCTTTTTGTTATTGTGTGCTTCCACTGTCTATCTCCTAGCTACAGGTTAGATAATAGGGCTGAGGTGACAACCAGTTAAAGGAAAGGAAAATTCACAACCAGCCTGACGATGAATGGGTTTCGTTAGGCTGTTTTACTCTAGACACAGTGCTAAAGGTTCCCGGGGCATACATGTGTAATGTCCTATGAGGCATGAAAAACACACAAAAAATTCTCAATCCAGTGAATTAAATTGCCAACCTATGATTACAGTTGACTGTCTATAAAATATGTTCACTGCATGTAATTGACTACATGGCTATTGTCACGAGGATGCATTTCTATAATAAGGGATTTCACTGAGTTCTACTTGTTATTACAAAAAAAGCTTTCATTCATGAAGTAGTTGTAAAATAGAGAAATTAGAAATAGAATGTTTGGAATATTCTAGATCATTCTAGTATATTCGAGAAAAATCTAGATGATTCGAGAAACATCTAGAAATATGCAAATTAGGTGTTAGCCCCTATAAAAATGGGATTTTGGAAAAGGGTTGTCAGTTGTTGAATGGGAATTTCTGCTGTTATCAACTCCGGCTTTTGATTCAAGGACTATTATTATATCCAGCCGAAAGAATCTTTATAAAAAGTTGCCGACCAACCAAAACCCAAAAGAGAATTTCATGGAACAAAGTTGGTAAATAGAATTTTGACTAATTTTCATTGACCAAACTAAAAATTAATATTTATTTACACACCTTTGTGGATTTCCAAATATAGCACTTAGATTACTTCACTAGCCCTAAAGTGATAAAGATATTTGATTCCCTTTCCTTCTTCCTCGTAACACTCCGCCAGTAACTCTTTGTTTTCTGTTTTGTAGGCCACAATTGTTTATCCTGTATATATTTTATGTTCTGTTTTAGTAAATTAAATATTTGTTTGTGATTTAGCTCTGTGTTGTGGTAAATCATTTTTTTCCTTTGTTACAATTATCAACACGTAACACTATAAATGACTAAAGTTGACTGTGTCTATGAAATGACAGAAAAATTCTTTAAAGATGTAACCTGGGAATTTTATTGGAAATTTGTTGAATCCGTTACATTTAGAGTATTTTTTCTATCAATTCACCCCAAGAAAGGCGATAACGGCACTCAGACACAATGGACTACTAAAAGCGAAAGAGAAAAAACTTAAAAACGAACTGAAAACCCAATAATAGTATAAATTTCAGAGTTCAGGCAGAGACGTTAGAGTTGTAGAATTTAGAAGGAACCCGAAACCCAATCCTAAGGAGGAAACAAAAGATAAGCCTCTACTCCTGTTCAAAAGACCAGGAGTTTAAACGAAGGATAGATGATTCTGTTGTTAATGCTTTATTAAGTAATCACTAACGATAGACGTTGGACATATGCTGATTACTGAGGTTTATGGACACAATCTGTGGAAAGTAAGCGTGGTTTAGTAGCCATTACTGAAGAAGTAGTCTAGAAGTCGTGCATCAATTTATATATATATATATATATATATATATTGCCACAGTCATGGCTTCCCGCGGATTCCTTTTGCTTTAATATCCGTGAATTGCTATGCAGTTCCCGTTACCCAGTTTGGAATTGAGATGTTTCTTACTCTTAAACTAACTGCTACCTAAGGCTAGAGAGCCCAGACTGCGCTACTATACAATCCACAACTGGTAGGAGAATATATTTATACCTTCCCCAAAGGCATTTAATTCAAAACTGATAAGAGAACAGATTCATACGTTTCCCAATGGCATTTAATTCGCACCTGGTTGGAGAACAGATTCATACGTTTCTCGAGGGTTATCTAATTCTCAACTAATGGGACAATAGATCCATACCTTTTCAATGGACATGTAAGTCATAATCGATAGGGGAATAGATTTATTCATTTCCAAAGGGCATTTAATCCAGAGCTGGTTGGAGAAGAGATTCATACCTTTTCAAAGAGCAATTAATTCACAACTGGTGAGAGAAGAGATACATAACTCTCAAAAGAGCATTTAATTCACAACTGGTAGAACAAGAGATTCATACCGTTCCAAAGGGCATTTAATTCACAGCTGGTGGAAGAAGCGATTCATATCTTTCCAAAGGGCAATTAATTCACAACTGGCGAGAGAACATATGCATAACTTTCTAAAGGGCATTTTATTTACAACTGGCGGGAAAATAGGTTCAAAACTTTGCAAACTGCATTTAATTCACAACTAGTGGGAGAATAAATACCTACCTTTCTAAAGAGCATTTAATTCACAACTGGCGGGAGAAGAGATCCATATCTGGAATTTGAACTCG